ATCACATTGTTTATTTCTTACAATTGATCGAATTCTGTTGATAAATTTTCAGTATGGTGATTATATTAATTTACTTGGTATCGTTGTTAGATGTTAGAAAGATTAGAAGTAACTACGAAGAATTCCCATATTGAATGTACTCCTGTCAGTAATTAGTAAATCTTATGGTGACAAAACTTTTGATGGGACTTTATTCACGAAACTGAATGGTTTGGTCATGAAGCTTTCATTCTTATTCTAATGAACGACATTATCCGCACAAATTGCGAATAGAAATGAAGTGACGATACTAATAATTCGAAAAAGAGTCATAGAAAACTTAAGACTCAGCTACATGGATAGTACCATAATTTCATGTTTTATTATATGAATTAGTAAAATGCAACTGTTTATACAAGAATGTAGATAGAATATTAGTTAGACATACATTATAATCAATGATCCTATCTTATGTGCTATGATAAAATTGCTACCTTGAATGAACATGTTAATAAAATGATAAATAAAGAACAGATGTGTATCAAAGAAATGCATTCTTTTTCTCTCTTTTATTCAGATTACTTTGACTGTACACTTGGATTAACATCGAAATTAACCAGTACATTATAGGTCATAGAAATCCTTTGTCAAATTTTATCGATTACATATTCTAATATTGTAAATTACTGTTAGATTTTGGGGGCTGTAAACTTTCATGGTCCACTATCAGTTGAATAAGAGGTTGATTTTAATATGGATAATGGAATGATAATAGCTGAAACTATTTCTCTTTGATTGTTTATATAACCTAGGGATTGGTAACTAAATAATCGAACCACTGACATTTACTACAAATGTTCGTATATATATGCTTTGTCATGTATTTCTGTCTAATCAAGCTTAGAGTGTATTTAATTATCATGAACAAATCTTCAACTAGATAGTTCTTCTCTTAGTGTTGTTTTACTTGCATCTTCGAATTGTTATTTAAGACCAGTCGAGCTAAACCGTGTCGGGTAGTGACAGGTATCTACCTCAGTAGAATCGAAGATGGTAGCACAATTTCGTGATCAGTTTCATGTTGCCTCGATATAGGCTGAAGTCACAAATTTTTTAAGCAAAGATGGATAGTGATTAGTAATGGAATTCTGGACGCGTGTTTCGTCCTACTTGAGATTTGTCAGTTGGATGTACCTGCATCTCAGAGTTGATTTTCAATCTAAGACTTGAACCCAGTACTGTTCGTTTCAAACACCATCACGTTATCCATTTAGCTACTGAGTCCTGATAGCCACTTGCTTGTGCAATTGAGTGAAGTTTAAAATTACTTATTTTACTTGTATCTTCCCATCGTTATTTAGGAATGCAAGTACACCAAGCTGACGAGTTCCAAAGGATTCCACAGCTAGCCACTATCCATTTTTGCTTTCTAATAAATAATAAGAATTCATATATTGAATGGATTCCATTCAATATTGTACGATGGAAAATATGCGTAACAATCATTTGAGAACAAACCCAGGATATATTCTGTTTTGTTACGTTTGAAACAAAGCATTGAGTAAATTAAAGAGTAGTAACCATTGGCTCAATAGTATGAGAGGGGTAGAGTAATGTCATCATAAATAAGTGTAAATCTTATCTAAGTATTTACAAAAAGAGATAAGTTTTTCAAATTTATGAAGCCTTAAAAACTTTATTAGGGAGTTTTCATATGGTTAAAACTTGTTTCTTGGTTTTAAGGATCCGGTGAAATCTCAAGTTTTATCACTCTTGAACTGTAATCTATTGAATTTGATATTGGCTGTTAATATGAGTCTTTTACTTACAACCAGATATCAGCGGTAGAAGATATTGGGAAGAAGTACTTGAGGTGGATAGGACATATATTGAGGAAAGAAATTAATTGAGTCACAAGGCAAGTCCTCACTTGAGGTCCTTGAGACCAAAAGAGAAGAGGAAGACGAAAGAACACATTACGCCGAGAAACAGATACAGACATGAGAAGGATGGATAACAATTAGATAGAACTAGAAAGCAAGGCCCATGACAGAGTGAGTTAGAGGATGCTGGTTAACGGCCTATGCTTCATTGATTATCTCACATGGCGAGACTATAATTTATGAACGAACCTATCAGATTTACGATAACAGGTCTTGAATTTTGGTGCGAAATTCACTCATCCATTTGGATCAATCCATTCATGATATTATGGCTGATGTCAGTTTGTGATGAAAACCTTATATCTAATTCTTAAGCCTAACTATCACACTGATTTATAATCCTCATTTGATCCTGGTTGCTAAGTGAACACTCTCAGGGTCAGTCTAGCGTCGCTCACCATGAACTTTAATGACTTATATTATTCAACATATTTAGTGACATTTGATATAATAAACAACTTACTTTTTCGTTAAAATCTCATGATCTAAACATGATGGAGCAAATACACCTCTATATAATAAAAAGAAAAACAAAAGGGGGGGGGTTAAGTGAATGACCTTCAATATGAAGGTTAAACAATGAAATATAAATTCAATATTGACTAGTTATTCATGAAACTGGACATCTATTTGATCCTTTCAATAATAAATATTATTATCAATATAGAGGTTGTGGAGATTATTAAGTTTTTGATTGAGATCATAAACCGTTTGATGTTAGACGAAGGCTTAACCAGTAGGTCCTGGATTCGAATCCAGCTGGCAAGATTGTGGATGTGCACTGTTGAGGAGTCACATAATAGGACGAAACAGCAGTCCATTTCTTTCAGGTTTCCAACGGTGGTCTAACATTAGTCGGTTCATGATCTCAATCAAAAAAAAAACATAAATTTATACTAGAAGGGAAAATGTTGCCATTTTTTTCCAGGTAAAATCAAATATTGGTCAGTTATTGATTCTAGTAAGTTTATGATATAATCCATTGTGTATTTGATAATCCTGAGTTTAAATTGAAGACTGATGAGACTGTTTTTAAAAATTTCACATATAACCTTTACTTACATTTAATTGTAATGTTTCCTTTTTCTGGAATACATTTTCGTCTTTTTTCGCCTTGAAATTACATAAAAGCTAAGAGATCAAGCTTCAATAAATTCCCAAATACTCTGGTACGTCTGAGGGTGAGGAAAGTTAGCTCTCGCTCTAGAAATGTTTTCATATGGCCACGTGCATACAACCACTGACAGGAAAGTCCTAGTCATTGCCTTCTCGCGACATTACGGTTGTTTATAAAATTGAAAGGACGAAAATCAAATGTCCGGCACTTTAAAAGGTGTGGTGGATATGGAAGATCCATTTAGGGTAGTTGAAAAACCCTCATTCCAAACCAATGGTGCACATAAGCTCTAGTATCCTGAGTGAACAAATGGAGTATAAACTTGTTGTTAGTCACCGGCTATTATGGGACTGCATCTTCTGAGGTTGCTCCACTGCCTTATGGATCAGACGTTTATGTCAAAGGCTCGAGGTGTAGCCTTTTAAGAAAACCACCTGTTTGAGTTTGAGCACCCGAGTAGTATCACAGCGCTCACACACATCGAATGATTTATGTGACGCATATCTATTTGTTGTCTCCTTGTACCAATGTTTATGTGTTTAAATAAGTAAAAATAAAAATGTCTAAACAGGATATATATATATGTAATCATAATTAACTAACCCAGCTGCCTGAAGACTACGTGCTACTTCTTTACCTAAATTTTGTATATATACCCATTTTGAATATGTTCCACCGGTAAGTAATGGGACTTTAGACATTTGCATTTGTGCTTCATCGAATAAACTTTGAACAATATAAACTGGAGCTTAAAACAAATAAAAAATCAATTTAAGAAAAATGAAAGTATTGATGTTTTATGAAGTTAACTTGATCTCAATCAAAAACTTAATAATCTCCACAACCCCTATACTGGTAATTAACATGTGCTCACTAGTGATTAGCTTCATGAGGGAATTCTCTGGGTTCTGGTAAGAAGCCGTGACCAGTGGAGCTAATCCGTGTCAAGTAGAGACAGGTATCTACCTCAGTACAATGGAAGATCGTAGCAAAATTTCGTGGATTGGTTGATGTTAGACACGAACACTATTAGATGCCGGCCGGCTCAGTGGTCCAATAGGCTAAGCGATCACGCAAGACCAAATATCCTGGGTTTGAACCCCGCTTGTGGGATCGTGGATGTACACTGCTGAGGAGTTCCACAATAGGACGAAACGGCCATCCAGTGCTTCCAGGTTTCCTACGGCGATATAACATCAATCGATTCATGATCTTAATCAAAAACTTATTAATCTACACAACCCTTATACTAAATAAATAAGCATTTCATAACTTCATTATCACATATTTTAATGTTAACATCAAAGTTAGTCATTTTGATCATTTCAAGATAGTTTCAAGTAAACACTAGTAATAACTGATTGTTTTCAAACTATTCTATCATATTTTATAGCTCATTACTAATGATAGGATAGTTGTCTATTTGAATAACTGGACTATTATTCAGATGTCAGTTCCTGAACTGCTAATATCTAACTGGTGATCACTCAATATTGATCGCAAGGGTCGATCAAGGAATAAGAAACGGAAACTTGTTGAGATAGTTTGTGTTGAAAATTCATATGTTGTACCAAAAATATAATATTGAATAAAGCCATTACTAATAATAATATCAAAGAAATGCTAAGGTCATGAATTAGATTTAGGGTTTTCATTACGAACTGATATAAAGTATAATGTCAAGACTCTATTTATCCAAATGGATGAGTGACTTTCCCACCAAAATCCGAAACCTGTTATCTTATATCTGATTGGTTCGTACATAAATTATAATGTCATTGATACTTCTAATTGAACACTAGATTCTGTTCCTAAGCTGTTCTAGTAACCCTCAGGCTAAATCTATATAGCCGTTTCTGGAAAACTTAGGAACACTACTAAACATAGTAACAGTATAGGTAATCATCCAATCAGAAACTCGACGTGTGACTTTTCACTTTCTAAACTTTTATTAAATGCTGATTAGATAAGATGTTTGTCAGAGTGTTCAAAGCCTTTTTTGGCTTTTATTTTTGAGGAGTTTTCTGGATTTCCCCAAACAATAATAAATGGTAACTTATAATACACTAGTTCACCAAAATATGGTTCATCATATTAGATAAAGTTATAAAGCAATAAAGGCTAATATCTTTACCACATATTTAATTTTCAATGGTTGACATCATGAATCAATTAAAACTAGACCATCATGGAAAACCTGGAAGTACTTGACGGCCGTATCGTCTTATTGTGGGACTCCTCAACAGTGAGCATCTACGATCCCGCCTCATGAGATTCAAGCAAGGGACTTATTAGTCTAGCGTACGAGCGCTTAACCATTAGACCAATGAATTGGCTGGCATCCAATGGTTTTAATGTTTAACTTCAACTAATCCACGAAATTCAGAGACACATTCACCATTGTCATCAATGAGTTACTATCTGACAACCGACTCAGTTGAACTCCACTAACTGATGATCTCAACCATTGAATTTACTATAATATCCACAAAAACCCTTCGAAATAACTATCTATAGAACAATTGAAATGAATTCAGAAGTTGAATATTTTAATGGAGACTGATTAAATCTACATTAAGAAATATACCATTTAATTAGATCTTATATACAAGTCACCAGGTCGTATACTTTTAACACCAGTGATGTAACATTTATAAATATTCACATGGCAACACGTGTTTATTTTTGTTATATTTTTTTTTGGACCTAAGTACTAGCTGTACTCTATCAATCAAGTTGTAGTATCTTCATTCATCTAAACGTGATATTGGTTTTAAAATGATAAGAGGTAATCAATTCTTTCATGAATGACATATTGATGGGTTCTAACTACCACGAAATATAAATCAAGTAAGGTTTATCGACGATTACCTTAAACTACTTTACATCAAAATATATCTATTGCTATTCAATCAGTTAGTAGGGTTGTGAACAAGAACCTGAATGGGGACAATCGAATGTATTTGACCACAAAATTACAGAACATCTCACTAAAATCTGAGAACCATACAGTAAATAATGAGTTAGCAAAATATCGATCCATTGTCTCAGATTTCATTGTTCATGCATTTTCATACCAATTGCTTTCCGTTTCCGTTCTTTCCTTATCGATCTTCTATTGAAATACATTATATGCCTGGTCACTGTTATATACTACTTATAGAGATATAAGTAACCCACATCACAATAGTATTTATTTAGTTTATCAAGATTAAGTTTCATAATCATAACCGATTACTTCAGATAACATTGTCTTAATAAAAATATCAATAATAAGAGTTCTGATTGATAAACAAATGATATGATGAAAGTAAACTTTGGTAAAATAAATTGACCCTGAAAACATTTATTTCTGAAATTGTTTGTTAATTCAATAGTAATGACTTTCAATTCACTTGATATTGTCTGATTGAATCTTTCGATTGATGTTTAGGACTGTAATTGGTCAGTCTATTATTGGTGTATGTGTCTCGATATTAGCCTTAATTTACAAGCATTCTAAGCAAAGATGGATAGTGGCTAGCAATGGAATGAAGGACGTGCGTTTCGTCCTATTTGGGACTCGTCAGTTGGATGTGCCTGGATTTCAATCTGGAACTTCAGTCTACTATCGCTTGTTTCAAACATGATTATGCTATTCAGTTAGCTACCGAGTCCTGATAGCCACTTGCTTGTGCAATGGAGTGAAGTTTAAATTCACTTGTTAATGTTTACTTAAATCTTCTTATTGATGTTTAGCACTGCAATTAATCAGTCTCTTATTGGTATATGTGCATCCTGTGTAAATTGCCTCGATATTGGCCTTAATTCACAAGCATTATATGCAAAGATGGATAATGGTTAGCAGTAGAATTCAGGACGCAGATAAATCTAGCTGAAGAGTCTCAAATAGAATGAAATTTTTAAATCCCGACCTGAATTCCACTGTTAGTCACTATCCATCTTTGCATAGAATGCATAGAAATGACTTTCATTTTAAAAGAAACATGAAAGGATTACATATACTTGATAAATTATAAATAATGTCACTAGAAATATGTAACCATGTTGAATAGATAAATGAACTGAGCCATTAAGATTGTTAACTATAAATAACTATTGAACTGTTGTATTAATGATCACTATTCAGTTATATAATATACCCTTGTAGGCCAGGGTAATTTTACATCGGTTTTCAGGCGAACCAGACACCGTCCAGACTTTCATGTGACAACCCAAACAGTACAGCACAAGCCCGTTTAACAGGAGAGCCAGACACTGTATAGGCTTTAACACTACAATCTGAACAGTACAGCTCAATCCTGTGGCGCAACCAAACAGGTACCAAGCACCCTGGTGGACCGAAAAAAACAAGTAAATGTTTAGTATAATAAATGATTATACTAAACATTCACTTGTTCTTTTTTATCTTTCAATAGCTAATTTACGTACCTCATTGTGTTTCAAACAATGAACACGGGAATGAAACAAGTATCCATTCCCATAAATGGAAAATATACTTAAAAGGGATATGATTCATATATTACAAAGGTCATAGTTGAATCTTATATAAGCTTAGCGTATTTATTGAGTCCTATGTATAATATTACTTAAGAGAATGTAATGATATTTCATAAATAATTAAAACCCTTCTTTATTTATGGTAATTCGGCCCCCAAATGCCCTGGTACGGTCGAGAGTGGGGGGAGTCTGCTCTCGCTCTCCAAATGCTCTCACATAGCCACGCAAACACAACCTCTGCTAGGAAAGTTCTACTCACTGCCTTCTTGCACTAAGAGTGTTGTTCACGAAAATGAGAGGATGAAAAGCGAATGTCCGAAGCTTCAACCGGATCCTAAACCAATGGTGCACATGGACTTCAGTATCCTGAGGGAACAAATGGAGTATGAACCAATCGTTGGTCACCGGCTATCATAGGACTGAATCTCATTAAGTTGATCCACTGCCTTGTGGATTAGACCTTTAGGTCAATGGCTCCGGGTGTGGCCCCTTAAGAAAATCACCTGCTTCGGTTTGGGCAGCCGGGTAGTATTACAGCCCTCACACATATCAAATGAGATCTGTGTGGCGCATATGTATTTGGTGCCTCCTTGTATCAATATCTATGTGTTAAAATAAATAAATAAAATAAAGGCTGACGAGTCTAAAATAGGACGAAATGTGCATCCTAAATTCTTTTACTATCCACTATTCATCTTTGCTAATTCAAATCATTTTTTAATAATAGATTCATTTCAATAAATCAATAATTGTACTTTTTAAATGTGGATACATAAACGGTGCCAAATAACATTTCCATTTTTCTCCTTTTGGATGAGATTTACGACATGGTTTCGGTATTCTGGGATTCCAAAATCTTCCATTAACAAAAAATAAATAAACAAATGTAACATAAATATTCATATACACGAATAGAGAATGTATAATCTTATAAAAACAATACTAATAGATTATGTAATGAAAGAGAAGGATGTTCATACAGTCATTGATACTTTTCTTAGATGAATTTATTATGAAGTTATGGAAACAGGTATCTACCTCAGTATAATGGAAGATGATAGCACAATTTCATGGATTAGTTGAAGTTAGACATGAACACCGTTTTATGCCAGCTCAGTGGTCTAAAGGTTAGACGTTCGCGCACAAGACTGAAGATCCTGGATTTGAATCCCGCTTGTGAGATCGTGAATGTGTAATGCTAAGGAATCGTACAATAGAATAAAACGACCACCCAGTGCTTCCAGGTTTTCAATGACGGTTCAACATCAATCCATTCATGATGTCAATCAATTATTTATTCAGCTTTAACTAAATATGAGGCTTAGAATGTACTTTGGTAAAGTGATAACTTATAAATCATCCATTTCTTATGACTGTATTGTTCTATTCTAGAAAAATTGTCAAATTAATAACTTCACCGTTGTCAAATTGAGTAAGAAATTACTAATCATGATAATGTTCTGTTCAATAAATAGAAGAATAGAGTTCATTAAAATCTAAATTGACTAAATTAAGAATATATCAATTTAATTTATCCATGATTGGTCCATGATGTGGGTGTGGGTTCGAATCCTATCTCCGACACATACTTTGCCCCCAAATCCTCTGGTTCGTCTGAGGGTGGAGGGAGGAGTTAGCCCTCCCTCTAGAAATGCCCTCACATGGCCACGTTCATACAATCACTGACAGGGAAGTCCTACTCACTGCCTTCTCGCGGCATTACTGTTGTTTACGAAATTGAGTGGATGAAAATCGAACGTCCGGCATTTTAAGCGGGTTGGTAGATACGGAAAATCCACCTAGGGTAGTTGGAAAACCTTGAGTCCAAACCAACGGTGCACATTGGCTCCAGAATTCTGAGGGAACAAATGGTGTATAAACCAATTGTTGATCACTGGCTATTATGGGACTTCATTTTCTTAGGTTACTCCCCTACCTTATGGATCAGACGTTTATGTCAAAGGCTCGAGATGTAGCCTTCTAAGAAAACCACCTGTTTCGGTTTGGGCACCTGGTCAGTATCACAACCCTCACATACATCTATTTGATACCTTCTTGTACTAATGTTTATGTGTTTAAATAAATAAATAAATCTTCTAATAATCATTACTTACTTCATTCCTCGATGAATACCTTCTTCTGGTGGACATTCAAATGCATTAATACATTTACTTTCTTGATAAGCAGGAATATGAATAAACCATGATGAATCTATTATTCCACTAACTAATACAGGATATCCAATACGATTAAATAATTTTCTACTTAATCTATCAATATTCATAAGTACACCAATTCCTCCAGCACTGAAAAAGATAAAGTATAGATTGTATTTTTTAGAAAGATCAAATGTATAACAGATCTAATCATATTATAATCATGTCACTTTATGTTTCAATGATCCTATATGACACTTACCTGTTAGTGATATTTGTAATACGGAAGAGTAGAATGGAGGATATTTAGATGCTTATTAGTGGTATAAGATGTGAACAGGATTCGATATGTGAATATTTGAATAAGCATTTCAACAGCTTTTTCATCCTTGTATAAGACTCTTCAAAAGTGCTTACCTACGACTTACAATAAGTTAAACATAGTACCAATTGATCAATTGTACAAGCAAATGGTTATCACGCCACAATAGTTGAGTGGATAACGAGATGGTGTTTAAATCTAATGATACTGAGATTGAATCCTAGAGTGAACATCAACAAGTCTGAGATACTACAGGTACATCCAGCTGACGAGTTCCAAGTCGGACGAAACTGGATCCCACTGCTAATCACTATCCATCTTTGTTTATTATGATTTTGATTGTATTAAAAATATACTGCATTATTTCCCTTTGTATTATTTAAACTTATGTTAATTCTATTTGGGTTATTTACTTACTCTGAATGAGTGACGTACATTACGCTAAGAAATGTCAAAAAGACAATTTTCCGCTCATCGGAATGTCACATAACTATATTTATTATTAAATCCGAAGTGTTCAGGTCTACAAACATATTAGAATAGTGAATAGGTGGATTTATATTTTATTCCATCTTCAAAGATTTCAGTGGATACACACTATTATTCAACTTTATATTGTAGATGTTATTAACCATTTACTCTATAAAACTTGTTTGTACTATTAATAATTATTTATTTCAGAAGGGGTTTTGTGGAGATTGTATTAATTTCAATAGTTAAGATCATGAGTCTTGAGCAGTGACCAGTGGAATTTAAACGGATCTGTTGTGAGATAGTAACTCAGTGATGACAATGGTGGATGTGTCGTTCAATGTCGTGGGTTAGTTGAAGTTAGACATTAACACCGTTGGATGCCAGCCAGCTCAGTGGTCTAGAGGTTAAGCGTTCGCGCGCGAGATTGATAAGTCCTGGATTCAAATCCCGCGATGCGAGATCGTAGATGCGCACTGCTGAGGAGTCTCACAACTATTGAAATTAATGATTTGTTATTAATAATAGAGTTAGTTATGTTATAGAACATTAACAACAGACTTTGAAACTATGTTTCTACTCAAAACTTGTCATTTATAATGAAGATTTTCTGATGTGTTTTTTCAAAGTTTAACATAATTTTTTTCTAGAATTATTTAATGGTTAAATTCATGAGTCGATTTAAGCTAGACTACTCTGGAAAACCTAAAAGCACTGGACGGCCGTTTCATTCTAGTTAGTCAGTTATTCACTGGAGACATTTATAGACGGTCGCGCAATATTGTCGATTGCTTAAAATTAAGCATTAACACTGTTGGATGCAGGTTCAGGGGTCTAGAGATTAAGCGTTTGCGCACGAATCCAAAAACTCTAGGTTGATGCCCTGCGTGTAGGATCGTTGATGCGCACTACTCAGGAGTCCCTCATTTTGATTTCATCAAAATATATCTCAACTCTATATGTAAAATCTAATTTGAAATAAACAGTTAAAATAAATCAATTAATTTCTTACCTAGAACCAGCAAATATAACTTTCTCTGTATAGGCTGCATTTTGCCATGGTATATTATCAATAACAGCTGCCAGTATACGTGATCCATGAAAATAGAAATCTGTTCAGTATGATATAACAATATAAGGAGAATATGATAAACTTATCAAATAAGCATATAATTGATTTGATCTTTAATGAAGTTAACATGAATTAGTGAAATTTTAGCAGTTGAATTCATGAGTCAATCTAAGCTAGACCATCATGGAGAATCTTTAAGCATTGGACGGATGTTTCGTTCAAGTATAGGACTCTTCAGCAGTAAGCATCCACGATTATGCACAAGGGACTTAAACCCAAGACCTTCGGTTTCACTTGCGAATGTTTAACCTCTAGACCACTAAACCAACCGGCATCCAACAGTGTTAATGTCTAACTTCAACTAATCCACGATATTGTGTGACTCATGTATTCAACCATTAAATTACTACAATGTTCACAAACCCTCATTTTGACAATGAGTGAAATGTTTATTCTATTGGTTACCTTACAGCTTAGAAAACCTAACCATATGACCAGTGGACTTCCAATCAGAAGACCAAATTAGTTGTTGTCTTTATTCTCTAAAAGTTTTATAACCATGTTTACTTTGCTTTTTAGAGAGTGATCTTATCTATAGTATTCCAATTGCTTAGTTTATAACAAAATTAACTATTTTGATTATTTAATTATTATTTCTAAATCAAAAGATTTGGAGGCGAGACTCAAATTTAAGGACGAGCCAATCAGATGCGTTTGAGCCATTTCAAGGTCACGGAGCCAAGTTTAACACCTGATGCTCACATACGATCGATTTACAGCGTATTTTAGAGAACAGGTTATTATTGAGAGGCTACAAGGGATGGGACTACTAAAAAGTTCTTGTACGTGCGACTGCAGTTATAAAATGACCGCAGTAAAGTGTGCAGACCAACGTGGTGAGATTATATTTCGTTGTTCTTCATGTTGGAGGAAAACGTCTGCTCGAACGTGGACTTTCTTCGCTTGATCGCGACTGAAACTGAGGCAGATCATGATAATAGTTGCAAATTGGGTAATAAATACACCAGTAACACTGGCTGCGGCGTTTGCAGTTGTTTATGAAAATTCAGCAGTCCAGTTGTATGAGTACTGCCGTGCAACTAAAATAACACGTATACACCAATCATTCGGAGGAGTAGGATGTATCGTGCAGACAGATGAAACGGCAGTGAGAAAGCGAAAATACAACAGGGGACGTAGTATAAATTAGGATTGTGTAAGTAGCATTTCCGTAAATATACTCGACAGGTACTTGGAATTTATGACTTTTTATACCGTATGCAATATGATTTCAAAACATCTGAAACTTTAGCAAAACTTGATAAGTTTTTAAATCATGTAAAAGAAGTATATTCACTGTAATCCATTAGTATCTTCTAATATATTTCTACGTTATACTAGGTGTCTTTTGATTGGCTATTATTCTCAAGGTCACTCAAAATTCGTTCAAAGGTCGTCTCTAAATTAGAGTCTCACCGATTTGGATAGAACTACGATTAATCTTTATCTGACTGTAAGAAATTTTATAGCAGATACTTCACTAACATCATTTTTCATGTAAACAATTTCAAGATTAACACCATTAAGCGTTCGAACTCAAGATTGAAGATGGTGGATTCCAGTCCTGTGTGCATAATCATGGATGCGAATTGTTGAGAATTCTCATACTAGAATGAGAGGATTATCCAATGCTTTTAGATTTTCAATAGTGATCTAGCTTAGATTGATTTATGAATTCAATTGTTACGCTACTACAATTACCATACCCCCCCCCCGATTTTTAGAAATTCATGTAGTTTTTTTAAACATAAACCTAGAACAAATATCAGTATGGGGGGTTTTGGAGATTATTACGTTTTTGATTGAGATCATGAATCGATTGGTGTTAGACCACCATTGAAAAGCTGGAAGCACTGGAAGGCCGTTTCGTCCAATTGTGCGACTCCTTATCAGTGTCTTAATGGGTGTATTCCGTTTATTAACAAATAAGAGAAGATAAAATTGAAATCTCCTACCTCCACTACGATTAGCCATTTTTCCAGTCCATAAATCACTTGAACAATATGGAATGAAACTAGACAGAAAAAAAATGAAAGAAAAATAAAAGTATTATTCCCTTTTTGCTCATATTGAAAATTTGATAATGGTGATCGGTGGCCCTATGCTCCATTGGATGTAACAGACGTAACTAACTAAGTAAGTAAGTGATATGCTTGAATGTTATTACGAGTTCACCTTAGTCGGTAAACGGAACGAAACTCAAAGATACAGTGACACGATAGGCTATTCTAATCCGTTGTTCCCGACCCTACTAACTAGATCAAGAAGTCTTGATAAGGCGTAGAGAATGTATTCTATAAGCACCCAGAAACTACGAGGTCACTAAGCACACAAATCAAGCTTATTTATACAATGATAGAAATACCCTTGGAAGAGCCACAAAATAGTGTACTAAAGAAATACGTCAACTAATGACAGTCAAGGATTTCCCAATGGGAAATGTAAGCTGTAGGTCAACTAAGCGTCTCTTGGCTGGAAAACATAAAAGTAAGTATATTCAAAATTAAAACGATATGAATAAAGGAGATTAATTATAAAGATGATTTCAACTTACACACTATGATATTCATGATAATTTGGATTTGCATTTGAATCAGATGAAAGTATTCCACCAACTGAAATGTGAGTTATCCGAGAAAATAAAACAGACATTTAGATTATTCTAATAATAATAATAATAATAATAATAATAATAATAATAATAATCATCATCATCATCATCATCAACATCTAAATCATCATCATCATCATCATCATCATCATCATCATCATCATCATCATCCAAATCATCATCATCCAAATCATCATCATCCAAATCATCATCATCAACATCATCAACATCCAAATCATCATCATCATCATCATCATCATCATCATCATCATCATCATCATCCAAATCATCATCATCCAAATCATCATCATCCAAATCATCATCATCCAAATCATCATCATCATAATGATAACAGTTGCATCCAATTTATATATACATTGAACTAATTTTAAGAAAGATAAGTTTATCATATGGCGTTGTGGAGATTCTTATTATACTTTTGATTGAGATCATGAAGTGATTGATGTTAGACCACTATTAAAAAGCTGAAGGCACTAGAAGATGGTCGCGCAATTTTGTGGATTAGTTGAGGTTAGACATTCACACTGTTAGATGTCGGTTGGCTAAGTGGTCTAGAGGTTGAGCGTTCACGCGGGAGACCAAAGGTTCTGGGTTCGGATCCTGCGAGAGGGTCATGAATACGCACTACTAAGGAGTCATACAATAGGACGAAACGTCCATCTAGTTCTTCGAAGTTTTCAATGGTGGTCTAACATCGATTGGCTTATGATATCTGTCAAAAAGAAGATAAGTTTAATTTGCACATAGACCATGTCATCAGTTGAGAAATCTTTGAATATCATTCATTGCAAACAAGATTATTGTCTCATAAAATATTGACGAAAACTATAATGAATTGCTGAAGATCATTAGTTAGGGCTTGCCTCGTGATGCAGTTTGATGATTTGCGTTATGTATGTCCTATCTATTTCCATCGTCTTTTACTAATTTCCTCTTCAGCTAGAAGTTGATTTGTTTTCACCTGCAGAAGGCTGTTACTGATGGTATCCGGCCAATGGATGTTGAGTATCTTGCGTATACAGCTATTGATAAATACTTGTAACTTCTTGATGATGGTTGTTGTAGTTCTACAAGTTTCAGCTCCGTACAACAGAACTGTCTTGATGTTGGTATTGAAGATTGTGACTTTGATATTCGTCGAAAGTTGTTTTGAGTGCCATATATTCTTTAATTGAAGGAATGTGGCCCTTGCTTTGTCAATGCTCGCCTTGACGTCTGCATCTGAACCTCCTTGTTCATCGATGACGCTCCCCAGGTATGTGAGGATTCCACATCTCCCAGAGTTTCGCCATGAAGAGTGATTGGATTGCTATTCTCCGTGTTGTGTTTGAGGACCTTGGTTTTCCCTTTGTGTATGTTGAGGTCTACTGATGCACAGACTGCTGCTATGCTGGCTTTCTTTATCTGCATTTGTTCGCGTGTATGTGATAGGAGGGCTAGGTCATCTGCGAAGTCCAAGTCGTCTAATTGGTTCTGAGCTGTCCATTGTATTCTGTGTCTTCCTTTGGATGTCGAGATCTTAATAATCCAGTCAACCACCAGAAGAAAGAGGAAGGGAGAGAGTAGATAGCCTTGTCTTATTCCGGTCCTTACTTGGAATGCCTCTGTCAGCTGTCCTCCATGCACTACTTTGCACTGTAGTCCATCGTATGAGTTCCGGATAATGTTGACAATCTTCTCAACTACTTACAGGGGTTAAATGAACATTTTAAAACAGTGTGAAGAATAAACATTATGATTTACAGTTGATTTGTAAATGTTAGGATTTAGATTTATCCTGTTCATCAAAAACTGACATCAATTAAAATGCCAAAACTTTATTTAAACAAATAAATGAATGAATTTCGCGCTTAAATCTAAAACCTCTCATTCTAAATCTGATTGGTTCGTCCGTAGCTTATAGTCTTGTCGGTTAAAGCTAAATCTCCATATCCAAGATGACATAATTATCGATTTTGCCTTGTTCTAATAACCTATTTCGTAATACTCTTTTTTTCTTCAAAAATTTGATTATAAATTTCTTTCTTTATTCTTTTGTTTTCTTCTGAAATTTACTTAGTCGATATACTTTTTAGATTCATAATATACTTTTTACAGTTACTGTTGTGGTATATACTACTAATGTCAATAAATATAAGTAGTATATATATATCATCAATGGAAAGTGAAATGTCTAATGCGGTAGAAGATTAAAGAGGAAACGCGAACAAAGAATGATGGATACTAGAATTGAAAGATCAATAAAATCTGAGACATATGATTGACATTTTACAAATGAACTTTTTTTTTCCTGTATGATCCTATATGATTTTACTAAGTAATTCTGTTCAAAGACATTCGATTGTCCTCATTTATGTTCTTGTTCATTACATTGTGTTATTATTGATCTATATTAACAATATCGTATTCTCAATGGTTAAGATAATGAGTCGATTGAAGCTAGAGCACCATGAAAAACCTGAAAGCACTAGACAGCCGTTTCGTCTTATTATGGGACTCCTCTTTGGCAGTGCGCATTCACGACCTCACCCCCCCCCAGCGAGATTAAAAACCAACACCTACTGGTATCGCGTGCGAGCACTTAACCACTAGACCACTGAGCCGGCCAGACGGCATCCAACGGTGTTAATGTTTAACTTCAACTAATCCACGACATTTAGCGACGCATTCATCATTGTCATAAGTGAGTTACTATCTCACGACAGACCTGGTTGAACTCCACTGGTCACTACTTCTCACTAGAACTCGAGGATATACCTCTTAAAGCCAGTCACTACTGAACAATATTAGAAAATACACTACTAATGGTAATATCTATATACTTGTTATAAGTTATAGTAAGGGGGAATCTATTAAGGGGGGAGGAGAGGTAAGGATGAATCTATTAAACATTAATCTATTATAATGACAAACATGATAGTATATCATTTGAAAACTTACGTGAACGAATTTTTGGCCAAAATTTTGATGAGAATAATGAAAATGCATTAGATTCACGTAGAATACATGTTTCTTCATCAAAACAATACCAACCCCCTAGAAACATAATTGAAATTAAATTTTATGATGTTACCAAATAGAAAAACAAAAAAAAAAAACAACGAAAAAACTAAAAAAATTGTTTTATTTACTTACCTTCAAGAAATATTATCCATCTATTTACTGTTGTATATTTTGCTGGACGATAATAATAACTAAAATATAAGAAAAAGAGAAGGATTGATATGAATTTCAATGAAACAATTAAGATTTTTAATGGTGATTTAATTGAGATCATGAGTCAATTGACAATAGATCACTATGGGAAATATGGAAGCAATGGACAATTGTTTCGTTCCAGTGTAAGACTCTTCAACAGGGTGCATCTATGATCTTGCCTCAAGAAATTGGAATCTAGGATTTATCGGTTTAAAGAGGTATTTTCTGGAGTTCTAGTGAGAAACACTGATCAGTGCAGTTCCAACGGGTCTATTATGAGATAGTAAGTCATTGAAGACAATGGTAAAAATGTTACTCAATTTCGTAAAGTGGTTGAAGTTAAACATTAACATCGTTGGATCTCGACCGACCTAGTGGTCTAATAGTTAAGCACTCACGAGAGATACTGATAGGTCCTGGGTTCAAATCTCTCAAAGTGAGATCATGGATACGCAATGCTAAAGAGTCCCACAATTGGACGAAATAGTCATGATCTCAACTACTAAAATCACTATCACTAAATTTATGATATGAATCAACATATCCTCAATAGTGACTACCTTCAAGAGGTATCTCCTTGAGTTCTAGTGAGAAACACTCATCAGTGAAGTTTAACCGATTGTGTTATGAGATAGTAACTCATTGAAGACAATAGTAGACATGTTGCTCAATTTCGTGGATTATTTGAAGTTCAACATTAACACTGTTGGATGCCGATTAGCTCAGTGGCCTCATGGTTAAGCGCTCATACGCGAGACTGATAAGTCTTGGGTTCAAATCTCATGAGGCGGCGGGATCGTGGATGTTCACTGCTAAGGATTCCCATACTAAGATGAAACGGTCATTCAATGCTTTGAGGTTTTGCATGATGCTCTAAATTCAATGACCTCATGATCTCAACGATTAAAATTACTATCATATTTACAATAATCCCTTCTCATAATAATCATCGTATACTCACTAATGACTACCTTCAAGATGTATTTCCTTAATTTCCAGTGAGAAGTTGTAACCAATGGAGTTCAATCGGGTCTTTTATGAGATAGTAACTCATTGAAGACAATAATGGAGATGTCGCTCAATTTCGTAGATTGGTTGAAGTTAAATATTAACACCGTTGGATACCGGTCTGAATAGGTTATGAGACTAACAGGCATAATGATGTGTTAAAACAAACAAGAAAACTAATAATTTGTTGAAATATCCAGATGGCAGGAACACGTAGCCCCGATATTCAAGCAGGTCGCCTGATCTTATTCACAATAATCCCTTCTCATAATAATCATCATATACTCACTAGTGAATGGCTTCAACAATTAATTCCCTGAGTTCTAGTGAAAAGCCATAACCAATGGAGTTCAATTAAATCTCATATGAGATAGTAAGTTACTGAAGACAATAGTGGATGATGGTGTAATTTCGTGGATTATTTGAAGTTAAACATTAACGCCATTGGATACCGGCCAGTTCAGTGATCTGATAGTTAAGCGCTCGTAAGCTAGACTGATAACTCCTGGGTTCAAATCTCGTGAGTCAGGATCATGAATACTCACTGCTAAAGATTCCAATACTAGAACAAATCGTTCGTCCAATGCTTTGAGATTTTCCATAATGCTCTAAATTCAATCACCTTATAATTTCAATGATTAAAATTACTATCATATTCACAGTAACCCCTTCTGATCTTAGATAAACAGTAAAATTTCAAAAAAAAGAAAATAAATCAATAAACAGACATACCCAGCTGATGAACCATCATTACATTTTGCTCCATCATTATTTAAAAGATATAATTTATGTGATTGATATTGTAATCTTATATTATTCCATTCATTATGTTTATAATGATTATGATTGTATTGATTCAATGAATTCTCTATTGGTTTTTTAAGGGGTTCCCATGGTTCAATAATATTCCAATGATCTTTATTATGATTACTATTCTCCTCATAATGATGATGATGAGGAGGAGGAGGAGGATGAGAAGGAGGAGGTGGTGGTGGTGGAGGAGGAGGAGGATTCTGTTCAGTAGTATATAGAAATGATTTATAATATGGTTTTGCTTTTACATTATCTAACCATGTTATAATAATCATAGTAATTATAATAATATAATAAAGTGTTGTATATTGTTTTAATGAAAATGGTATCTCTATTGATATAGAATTTTGTATATGAATAATTTGTTTATTTGTATAAGTTTCACATAATAATGAAGGTTTATTTGATATTGATAAATAATCTATAAAATGTTTTTTTTTTTAAAAAAAAACAAAAAAAAAAAACAAAAGAAAGATTACAAAAAAAAAAAATAAATCAATAAATAAAAGTACTAAATAATCGTATTTGTTCTATTGTGTAACTCTTCAGTAGTACATTTCTACAACTCGACTTTATGAGATTTCAACTCAAGATTTATTAGTCTGGTATACGAGCGCATAATCATTAAACTACTGGACTAACCGGCAACCAATGATGTTCATGTCTAATTTAAACTTATACACACAAAATTGAGCAACATATCCATCATTGTCATAAGTGAGTGACTAACTCACAACAGACCTGGTTGAATTCCACTGGTCATTACTTCTCACTAAAACTCCAGGATATACCTGTTGAAGCCAGTGACTAGTGAGTATATGTTGATTATTGTCAGAAAGGGTTTTGTGGAGATTGTAGTAATTTCAATGGTTCAGATCATGAGTCAGTTGAAGTTAGACCACCATGAAAAACCTGGAAGCATTGGACGGCTATTTCGTCCTATTATGGGACTCCTCAGTAGTGAGCATCTACGACCTCGCCCCCTGCGAGATTTCAACACAGGACCTACTGGTTTCACGCGAGAGCACTTATTCACTAGACCACTAAGCCAGTAGTCATTCAACGGTGTTAATGTCTAACTTAAACTTATACACACAAAATTGAGCAACATATCCATCATTCTCTTCAATGAGTTACTATCTCACAATAGACCCGGTTGAATTCCATTGGTGGCTGCTTCTCACTACAACTCTAAGAAATGCCTCTTGAAGGGAGTTATTGGTGAGCATATGTGGATTAATATCAGAAGGAGATTTTGTGGATTTTATAGTAATTTCACTAGTTGAGATGATGAGTCAATTGAAGTTAGATCACTATGGAAAACTTGGAAGCACTGGATGTCTATTTTATCCTATTGTGAGACTCTTTAGTATTGCGTATCCACGATCATACGCATTTGTTTTTGTTCAAACAAACCAAGTGTAATGTGCAGTCTCATCATCGGGTCTATTTAAATATGACAGATAAGTTATTTTAATAGTTAAATTCATGAGTTAATTAAAGCTAGACCACTATAGAAGCACTAGACTACCATTTCGTTTTAGTATGGAACTTCTCAGCAGTGCACATCTATGAACATGCATGTGGGATCTGAACCCAGGATCTTCGGTCTTACTCACTACAGTATCAGCTCTTTGAGAATCCTGAGGGTGATGTCTTAGATCTTTAATGCTGTCATGTTTACAAACTAGTTAAGAGGGTCATATCAAGATGAAACATATATCTAGCACATTATGGTTTGCGATGGTTATCTAATTAAAGTTAGTACATAATGGACACTATAAAATTACACATTTTATTTATACAGTATGACAATTTGATATTGAATATTTTAACATTCACCACTTCGAATGGAACACTATGTGACGGTTTTGAATTGAACAGTAAAACATTGTTAATAGATTTAATGAAATACTGTTTATCTTTATTTATTGATATTTTGTATACTACTGATTTATATTACTTTTAAATGATTGAGTAGTATATTTCAATACAGACAATAAACCTTATTTTTTGTAAGCATGGGGGATTTGTAGAGATTATAGTATTTTCACTGCTGATGAGTCCTAAATAGGACGAAACGTGACCATTGAATTCCATTGTTAACCACTATTCATCTTTGTTTATAATACTTTCGAATGAAGACAATATCAAGGCAATCCGCACAGTCTGTACATATGCCAACAAGACACTGATCAATTTACAGTCCTGAACATCAATGGGAAGATTCAAACAAAAATGATCTAAAACAGTGAATAACATACTACAGTATGTCTACAATTGTATTATAAACCATTCAATAATTATAATCAATCAAAGCTTCGTTTTACAAATTTCTTAACATTCATCAATAGATTTCAAGTTTGGGTCATACATTAACTACTGTAAATATCAAATCCTAAGTGATTTCCTGGAAATGGCCTACCATTTAACCTATTACATAAGAAGAGTAATAGCGATTCACTTTCCCTACTATTCTTCAAAGTCATGTAAACATAGATATTCAAAAATAGATGAATTTAAGGGTATCAGGTTTCGTTTATATACATTTATCAACTATTTTGCTTTATAAGTATGAATGAAAAGGTTGGAGTTAATAGTTTAAGGTAAATTAAGTCTTAGGTAATGGGTTATTCATAAATACTACAAGAGGGTTTTGTAGAGATTGTAATAATTTCATCGTTGAATTCATGAGTTAATTAAAGCTAGAACACTATGGAAAATCTGGAAGCATTGGATGGTTGTTTTGTCCTATTATGAGACGCCTAAACAGTACTCATTCAGGTCTGTTATGAGATAGTAACTCATTGAAGAAAATGGTGGATCGTGACACAATTTTATGAAATGGTTGAAGTTAGACATTAATACCGTCGGATGCCGGCTCAATCATCTAAAGGTTAGGCATTCACTCGCGAAACCGAATATGTTGGGTTCGAATCCCTCTCGTTGAATTGAATAGTATAAAAGTACTTGTGTTACTTATTAACTCAGAAGAAATGAGTTACATGAAGTCGTGGAACGTATGAAATGCAATGTTTCTACGTATTGGAATATAACAATAGAAATAACCGTCAAACAATTTTGTTTCTTTTAGTGATTCTAACCATTATACATATGTATTATCATTTACTTTCAATAAAAGATTTATTAAATTACTTTTATATACATAAAAAGGGGGTTTTGTGAAGATTGTAATAATTTAATAGTTGAATTCATGAGTCAAATAAAATTAGACTACCATAGAAAACCTGAAAACACTAGATGGCCATTTTATCCTAGTATGGGACTTCTCAGCAGTAAGCATCCACTATCTCGTTCTTTGGATCCACATCCAGGATCTTCCGTCTCATGTGCAAACGCTTAACCTCTGGACCAATGAGCCAGTATCTAATGGTGTTAATGTCTAACGTCAACTAATCCACGAAATTACGCCACTACTCACCATTGTCTTCAATGAATTACTATCTCACAACAGACCTGGATGCGTACTACTATGGTGTCTGATACTAGAATAAAACGAATATCTAATGCTTCCAGCTTCTATTCAAGAAGATTTAGGAGGAGGAACAAGTGCCGATGGATTGGAAAGAAGGACACCTCATCATGATTCCAAAGAAAGGAGATCTGAGAAAATGTGAAAACTATAGAGGCATTACACTACTGTCAATAACAGGTAAAGTCTTCAACAGAGTGTTACTAAACAGGATGAAAGACGCAGTTGACGCTTAACTTCGAGATCAACAAGCTGGATTCCGTAAGGACCGGTCGTGCACAGACCAGATTGCGACACTACGGATCATCGTCGAACAATCAATTGAGTGGAACTCGTCACTCTACATCAACTTCGTTGATTATGAAAAGGCATTTGACAATGTAGATAAGAGGACGTTATGGAAACTTCTTCGACACTACGGAGTTCCTGAGAAGATTGTCAACATTATCCGGAACTCATACAATGGACTACAGTGCAAAGTAGTTCATGGAGGACAGCTGACAGATGCATTCCAAGTAGGGATCGGAGTCAGACAAGGCTATCTACTCTCTCCCTTCCTCTTTCTTCTGGTGGTCGACTGGATTATGAAGCCCTCGACATCTGAGGGAAACCATGGCATACAATGGACAGCTCAGAACCAAATAGACGATTTGAACTTCGCAAATCACCTAGCAATCCTATCCAATACACACTAACAAATGTAGATAAAGACAGCCAGCATAGCAACAGTCTCTGCATTAGTAGGCCTCAACATACACAAAGGAAAAACCAAGGTCCTCAAATACAACACGGAGAACAGCAATCTAATCACTCTTGATGGCGAAACTCTGGGAGATGTGGAATCCTCACATACCTGGGAAGCATCGTCGATAAACAAGGAGGTTCAGATGCAGACGTAAAGTCGAGGATTCAAAAAGCAAGGGTGGCATTCCTTCAATTGAAGAACATATAGAACTCAAAGCAACTCTCAACCAATATCAAAGTCAGAATCTTCAATACGAACGTCAAGGCAGTTCTACTGTACGGAGCTGAAACTTGGAGAACTACAACAACCACCATCAAGAAGGTACAGGTATTTATTAATAGCTGTCTACGCATGATACTTAACATCCATTGGCCGGATACCATCAGCAACAGCCTTTTGTGGGAGAGAACCAACCAGCTTCCAGCTGAAGAGGAAATTAGGAAAAGACGATGGAAATGGATAGAACATACATTACGCAAATCATCAAACTGCATCACCAAGCCTTCCACAACTTGGAATCCTGAAGGGAAGCGGAAAAGAGGAAGGCCAAAGAACACATTACGTCGGGAAATAGAAGCAGATATGAAAGGGATGAATAAGAACTGGAAAGGGCTGGAAAGGATTTCCCAGTACATGTTTGGATGGCGAATGCTGGTAAGCGGCCTATGCTCGTTCACGAGGAGTAACAGGCGTAAGTAAGTAAGTAATGCTTCCAGGTTTTCTATAATGGTCCAGCTTTAATTACCTTATCAATTCAACGATTAAAATTAGTACAATCTCTACAACCACCCCCCTTTTTTGATAATAATAATAATAATAATCATTATTATTATTTATTATTACTAATAATTCCAATTAATTAATTAATTAATTAAATGGTTAGATTTTCCTCCTTTTTGTAAAACAAACAAACAAACGAAAGAAAAATCTTGTGTTCATCTAACTTACATGGATACACATTCACTAAAGTTTATTTCAAAGGTCAAGTTTTAAAAGAAACAAATCCTTTTGATGTACCTGTACAAGCGTGTAAACCTACACACACACACACATGTACACACACATGCCCACATGTACACGTACACACACACACACAAATACACATGCATCAAACCATTCATGAATAAACGTTTTTGTTGACTTAGATCAAAGGAAAAAAAATTTTTTTAATGTACACAGATTACAATTTACTATTCAAAGATGAATAAAAGAAAATTTAATTGATGATAAACAAAATGAAAAAAAAAAATTTAAAATAAAAGTGAAGAGAAATAAAGAAAAAGAAAAGAAATTCAATCAATAATACACCAATTTAATTTGTTTTTGTTACTTTATTTTTTTTTCTTCTTTCCTACAAAACCTCTTTTGATCATAATCATCTATTCACTAATGACTGACTTCAAGAGGAATTTCTTGGAGTTCTAATGAGAAGTCATGCCCAGTGGAGTTTAATGAAGTCTATTGTGAGATATTAGCTCGCTAAAGACAATGGTGGATGGTGGCGCGATTTGGTAGATTATTTGAAGTTAGACATTAACACCGTTGGATGCCGACTGGATCAGTGGTCTAATGGTTAAGTGCTCATGGTGGTGGTGGTGGTGGGGCAGGATCGTGGATGCACACTGTTGAGGGGTCTCACAATAGAATAGAACACCATCCACTGCTTCCAGGTTTTCCATGGTGGTGTCTAGCTTCAATTGACTCATGATTTCAACTATTGAAATTACTAAAATCTACACAAAACCTCTTCTGATAAAACTGTAATTAGTCTTAATCATAAGAAGTTTACGATATATCAGGAGTTAGTAGCTAAGTGGTTAATTCGATAGCGTTTGAAGTGGACGGTACTAAGTTCGAGTTCCATAGTGAACATTAACTCTGAGATGCAGATATATCCAGCTGACGAGTCCTAAATAGAAGTGGATTCTACTGCTAACTACTAATTATCTTTGTTTATAAATCTTGTGATTTCAGGCAATATTGATTAGGATGCACATATATCAATAAGAGACTGACCAATTGCAGTCCTAACATAACAATGGGAAAATATAAGCAAGCACCTCCAAGTGAATTTACAGTATAAGTTTTGAAGATTTTGGTGTCGTCTATCTGACTCCAGTTGGATCGTTTCTGATTGTTATCAAATAATTACTATTGAAATATACATCCTGATTATTTTTGTATATAATTATCAACTTTAATCATTTTGGGGAATAAGTTAAGTAGGAGAATGAAATTTCGAATACGTATATATTGTACATTCATTGATCTGAACAGATAATCGGGGAAACGGAGCGACGGAAGAGAATAGAAGAGAGAGAGAGAGAGGAGCGAAACGGAATGACCAGCAGTGAAGAAAGCACGTGAGCCAACTCGGTTTAATCAAGCGTTAATCAATATTTTTAGTCATACAAAAAGTAAGTTACAAACATGTTGTGAATAGGATATGAAGTGTACACACACACACACACACTTACATAAAAACAATTAAAGTTGATAAGCAAATAACTAACAAGGTTACAATGTAACTCAAGTAGGGTGAATAAATTGGATTGTCTGGAGGTTAAAATAACTTGTGTGGGTTTAACATAACAATCGACATTACAAAAAGAAAACAAACAGTAGTAAACACATAATTATTGTTTGATTGATTGATTTCTCTACGGATCATCTCCATTTTGACGATGGTATTCATTAAGGTTCAATATTTAATGTTCAAAGTAGCAGTTACATTGTTCAAATTTCAATGTGAACACTAACACATGGATACAGATAATATTTAATTGATTATTTCAATAAAACGCAAAATTATCAATTTAGGTGTTGTGGAGATTGTCAAGTTTTTGATTGAGATCATGAACCGTTTGATGTTAGACCACCATTGAAAACCTGGAAACACTGGACGGCCGTTTTGTCCTATTGTGGGACTCCTAAGCAGTGTGCATCCACGATCTCGCCCGCGGGACTCGAACCCAGGGCCTCCAGTCTCACGCGCGAACGCTTACCCACTGGACCACTGAGCCTGCATCCAACGGTGTTAATGTCTAACCTCAATCAATCCACGAAGTTGCGCCACCATCTTCCATTGTACTGAGGTAGACACCTGTTTCTACCCAACACGTATTAGCTCCACTGGTCACTAGTTCTCACCAGAACTCCGAGAAACTCAAAATGTTCATTCTGCAATTGCATCTGTGAGTTGCTACTCCCAAATAATGAAAACATGAAAATATGTAATCGGGGGTTCTGTG